AATCTCTAGATATTGAGGAAGAATCTGGATCAAAACACACAGAAGCCATTGTTTCCAAATGTATGCTTCCTTATTATTATAACATCAGGGCACAACTGCTTGACATTGTCATCCCGGAATGAGCAGAATATGAATGTTTGTTCACCGATAACGGATTTGGAAGGTTGTCTTACAAGTTTGCTCGAAAGATTAAGAAGGATGTGCTTTTGAAGTATGAAAGGATTGCGAAGTTATCTCCAATGGTTCCAAAAGATTATGGTGGGGTTGGATTTTTGAAGGGAGAAACAAATTTCATAGTGTCATCTTCAAAAGTGTAATCAGACAAGTCCACGACTAGACAAAGCTTGGCCTTGAAGACAGTGTAATCAGAGAAAAACCTTGTCCCTAAGATGCAGGAGGCAACATTGGTCTTCTTGAGTTTAAAAAGCTAGTAAGAACAACATCAGATTGAACTTTGTTGTATCGGCCAGTGTTGTTAACTCAAACAATCAACATATATGACCTGAGAGGTTGAGACAAACATGGATAAAGCCTAAGAGAGAACAAGTTAGCCGATAAATCTTCCTGTTGAATCCCAAGGCCGAGTTTCAAAAGACTTTCCGATGATGCTTCGTTTGTCGCTAACAGTTCCATCTTCAGTTTGGTACTCTGGAAAGTAATCAATGAATGTTTTTGTGCCTAACTCATTTACTCCACGGAACAAGAAATCCCTCAGCAACTCCTGGTTTGGTTCAAATCATTTTATTAACATCTCATGGGAACAAGAAGTGAAAATACCGTAACAAAACACTACTAATGGAATCCAGCATCATACCTTTGCCTTTGCTTCACCGACTAATTTTCTAAGAAGACCATGTCCAGGATCCTGCAAGCAAGATCCACCGTTATTACAGTTTCTACCCGGAATCACCTTTTTTGTTTGAAGGAAATTAATCACCTTTTGTGCTCGCCATGTCAAGTATTTGTGTTGTGCTTCACGGTTGGCTCTCACCTGAGACGGATCCATCTCCTCCGTCACTTGGATTGTTATCTCAAGCCATGTCTGTGAGAAGACAAAAGAAAGATTCAGTCATGTATATACTACTGTAAAACCTTAGCTTTTGGCAGGACACATCCTCGAGTATACCTGATAGTACTCGAGGAACGCAGAGAATAAAGCCTTGTGTTTTTCTTGGCTAGACGAAAATCTGGTCCACATCACCAAAGGCGAAAAAAACTTTATGGATTCACCAGTCAATTTTCCTCCCCATGGAAAAATCTGCAAACAAACCTCAGAACAGTTCATCTTATGTTATTCTTATTTCATACACATGCAATTGCGTAATTTTACCTCAGCATATTTGTGATGTATGGACATTATGTTGTTGTAATACTTGTCTTGGTAATCCGTCTTGTCGGTCAACTGATGCAAAGGATTAAGGTCCCTAAAGAAGAGCACACGGTAAGTTTTTGAACATCTAGTCTCCATCTTTGGACAACAGAGAGCTGATAACTTACAACACCACTATGTTCATATTGGCAGATGTGAAGAAGTTAGCACAGAATATGGGTGTATCATACTTAGGCTCCATAAAACCAGCAAAGTCAAAAACCTACACATTAAACCCACACAAACAAAAAAAAAGAAAAATGAGGACTAAAGTAACAACATGTTCATATCCACAGAGATTATGCAATCAAGGAATGAGGAGTACCTGCATTGTCTCGTTCTCGATGGCCATGCTTCGCAAGAGTCTAATCTTTGAAGATTTGAAAGCAAGCATTTGAAGCTGGGTTTTTCCATCAAGTCCTGTCATGCTACTATACTTTTCCTGAAACAGTTTGATGATTATAAAACTAAAATCTGAAAGTTTATATAAGCAAGCCTATGATAGTGAAACTTTTAGGAGCACCTGGAAATGGATAAAATGTTCAAACACAATTCAGTTCCCTGTATACTTGGAGGTTATGCAGAAGACAAATACATAAAAAATGAAGATTCAGTTGTTTATATGTGTTAAACAAGTGCCACAGCTAAGAATAATTGATCAAGACCGACTTCACCAGAATCTTTGACATAAACAGCTAAGGATGTTCTTTCAACACTCACGACACTTGAAGTTGGAACTTGCTTTCTTTGTCTATATGATAATCCTCTCTACTGGAATTTATCTTTTTGCAATACTCAATAATTTGAAAATTGCACGTACCTGGAGAGGTGAAGGTTCAAGAAGGACCCTTTTCCTGGTTTCTTCCAGAGCAGAGTCAGCGAATTCCTTATACGAAACAGCAGAGATGACTCTAAATGTGCTTTGAAATTTGAAATTTGTTTTCTTAGTGCTTGAAGAGATAAGAACAGGAGAGTTTGGTGCTTTGAAGCACGACCCAATTGAAAATCGAAACTCCATTGATAAAGCTAATTACTACAACACTCCACAAACAAACAAACAAACAAGAACTGAAAACAATGTCTACTTCCTCTGCCACTCTCTCTTCAATTCTTCATACTGAAAGAATCGATTCTAATCATCTTTTGCAATAAACCCTAAAAACCTGGAATTTAACAAGAAAAGTTGTCTTCATAATCGCAATTTCGTAATCAGAGCAAGAAAAGTGAGCAAAACGATATTAAAGCACAATCCTGACTCATGATCAGACCTTAACCGGTTAATATACCAAACCAATCAGACATTTCTTTTCATACCAAATGAGGTTTACAATTTTATACAGTAAACCGGAAATAAGAGTAAACTAAACCGGGAATATAAGATTAAAACAAAAAACAAGAGAAAAGCAAGTCAAGAAGTTGGAGCAACCATGGTCAAGGTCACAGCTCCACCAGCTTCATCCATGTTAACTTTCTCTCCTTTGATTTTCCAATCAAAACACTGCACCATCACTCCAATCGTGGTTCCCATAACGAGATAAGCTAAATTGGATCCATCCAGGACAACCTCTCCTCTCCGAAAGGAAGATAATCTAGCACTTCCTCTCTCATCTTGTCCTTTTTTCCTGATGATCTTGAATAAGCTAAAAACCTCTCTGGCTTAAACTCTTCAGGATCTTCCCATAAATCAGCATCTCTCATTATAGCATAACCATTAACAAGTAGTGTTGTTTTCTCCGCTATGTAGTACCCGTTGATCTTACAACCTTCTTGGAGCCGGTGGGTGCAATCTCAGTCCTTCCTTGACCACTGCTTGCAAATAAGGAAGGTTTGGTAGATCCGTTTCTTGAATCAGCCTTGTTTTCCCTAAAACGGAATCGATCTCTCCTCTCAATCTCTCGAGAGTCTTCCGGTTGTTAATGATCTCGGCCATGGTCCATTCTATAGCGTGCGTCATGGTGTCACTGCTTGCAATGAATAGATCCTGTACGTAGTAGCAATTAGCAAACGTTACTTAGTCAAGACAACCAATGGCGAATCCACTTGATTAAAGAACAAGGACTTGATATGGTTCCTAGTGATCTTATACTCTGCGTTTTCGTCTCCATAAGCTTCTAACAATACATCCATCAAATCCATACCTTGCTCCTTCAGTTTCTCTTCGTGTTCCAAGAGAATCCTCTCCAGCAATTCATCGTACCTGCACGAAACACCCATGATCTCCTTTTTGAACAAAGGGATCCGGAGCTTCTCAAGTGGCCTGCGCAAGAGGGACGCCAATAAACGTTTTTTCGACAAGGCATCTGTCTCAGTCACTAAGCCCCTCACTCTCTCTACATCCTCTGAACAACTCCTCCCCATGAGTATCTTGCAAATGCTGTTGTTAATTAGCTTCATTACTTCCTCACGGATATTAACACTCTTCTTGTTCATCGCCTTATCAAGCATGTTTGAGTGAAACCGCGCTACCTCATCTGCACGGACGCCTCGTAGCCTCTCCAGAGCCTGAGGTCCGAGGAACTTAGTGACCATGAGCTCCTTCATGAACTTCCAGTAATCTCCATAAGGTGCGGTAATGAAGCCAGAAGACCTGAAGATAAGAGACCTCTCCATCCTAGGGAGGCTACGACTGGAAACATTTACGTCTTACGCCTTAAAGATCTCATAGGCTATTGAAGCAGAGGAGACGACGACTAAGGGGACATTGAAGATGCGGAGATGGAGGAGAGTTCCATACTTGGATGAGAGTTTCTGTAAAGATTTGTGCAATAGAAGAGAGAGGATATGGTGAAGATGGCCAATGATAGGCAGAGACGGAGGGCTCGGAGGCAGGTCAAAGCCAAGTCGTGAATCCTTTTGTTTCCTGAAGAAGAAAGAGTAACAGAGAATTGAGAAGAGGCAGAGGAGGATAAAGATGAAGCAGTTTTGAAAGTCAACGGCCATCATTGCAGCCATTGTTGCTCTAAGTGACAAAGCAGGTTAATCAGAGTATTTTCTTATCAAGATGCATAAATGATCCTATGCTTTGTTTATTACCTAAATAAAATGGAAGAACGTGAAATAATTGAAAGCTGAAGTGTTATCTTATTAATAATATACTATAATCAAATCACAAGTTCTTTGCGACAATTCATAATCAAATTAATGATTTAATAACTTAGTAAAGCGTATTCATCGCCCAAGGTGACGACTAAAACAGTTTTATCAATAAGCAGGCATTTAATTTCGTCAGAATCTTTCAGTACAGTATGCACAAGATTTATGGCCACGACTATTTTCAAGGTGACTCCTGATTTGTTCAAAATGATTAATTTTCATCATCAGAAAAATTAACAACAAACACTGCTAATGGAAGCAATTATCTACCTTTGCCTTTGTTTCACCAACTAGTTTCTAAGAACACCAACATGTCCAGGATCCTGCCAACAACAAACAGATCCACTGTAACAATCACTACATGTTCTACCTGAAATCGCTCTTTCTGTTCAAACATGCAAAACTGCAAAGGAAATTTATCAACTTTTTTGCTCACCATGTCAGTTATTTGTGCGGTGCTTCACAATTCGCTCTCACCTGAGATGGCTCCATCTCCTCCTTCACTTGGAATGTCATCTCAAGCCATACCTGTGAGAAGAAAAACGACAGATTCAGTCATTTTAACAGTAAAAACTTAGCTTTGGCAACACATAAACCCGAGTTACCTGATAGTAGCTGAAGAATGCAGAGAATAAAGCCTATGTTTTTCTTGGCTAGACGAAAACTTGGTCCACATCACCATAGGCGGAAAACATATGATAGCCTTTGTATCAATTTGAGCTCCTACCTTGTATCTGATTCTATGAATTGATCTCGTGATCTTCAGCTATGTACGACATCAAATATCGTCAAGAAGCTGCCAACCGTTAGTGTTTCCCTATTATTACACATAATCAAGAGAAGCATGTTCCACGATATCAGGATTGACGATGGAATCATCTTTCACCAAGTCATATAGATCTTCAAGGAATGTCTCAATTTTCCCTATATCAGAATGAGATTTGTCTCCTGCAGCAAAAATGTGTGTTCTTTGTCCCACATCAATCCAGCTACATCCAGGTAGCTTCTTGACTCCTCTGTCTTTCATGGCTGTCCTCAAAGCATTGACCTTTTCCCAACGACCCTGTGAGGCATATATGTTTGAAAGAAGAACATAAGCTGACGAGTTTTGTGGTTCTAATTCAAGAAGTTTCTCAGCAGCAATTTCTCCTCTAATGTCATCTCCATGGATTCTACATGCACCAAGAAGAGATGACCATAGTCTTGCATCTGGTTTCAGATTTTGCGCTTTGATGAAATCATCAGCTTCTTGAAGATTGCCCCATCTCCCAAGAAGATCAACCATACAAGCTACATGATCTACACGCGCATCAATACCATATTGACTAATCATCATCTCAAAAATCTTCCGTCCATCTGACACTTTCCCTGCATGGCTACAAGCTGTTAGAACACCTAGGAATGTGACTTCATCTGGCATAATATGGGCTTGCCTCATGGAACCAAAGATCTTAAGGGCATCTTCTGCGTAACCATTTTTCGCATACCCATTGATCATGGAATTCCATGAGACAACGTTGCTTCTACGCCTCATTTCATGGAAAACTTGTGTTGAACTTTTCATGTCCCCACATTTAGCATACATGTCAATTAGGGTGTTAGAGGTTAACTCGTCTAAGTCATGAGCCAAGTGGAAGGCAATAGAATGGATAGCTCTACCTTCTCTTAAAGAGGAAAGGACAGAACACACTCGGAGAACAGTGACAAAGGTTGCCTGGTCAGGTAGAGCACCATCATGACGCATTTCTTTGTAGAACTTCAAAGCCTCCTCATAGAAACCATTCTGACTATGCCCTGACATCATCCCCGTCCAAAGAACAATACTCTTAGGGCTTGGTAACTCTGAGAAGAGAGCACAAGCCTCCGCCATTCTACTTGAATTCATGTACAAGCCCAAAAGAGAAATCCCTAGATATTCACCCTCATATAAAGCCCCCCTCTTTACTATTTGACCATGGAATTGTGTTCCTAGGGTCAAAGTTTCTGGTTTATCGCAAGCTTCTATAATGGTGGCAAACGTGATGTCAGATGGGTTAACACCTCTTGTCAGCATTTCTTGAAAGAGAACTACAGCTTCTTCTAAGTTGTTCTGTGAATAACCTGCAATTAGAGCATTCATTGACACAACGCTCCACTCAGGCATAGACGAGAAAACTTTCCGTGCATCTTCAATGACCCCACACTTGGAATACATGTCAATGAGTGAGCTACCAGCATGAAGATCTGTGTCAATGCCACACTTGACAGAGAGGCAGTGAGCTTGTTTTCCTTGATAAAGACCATGAATATTTGCACACGCCTTAAGTATGCTAGCCAAACATGCTCCATCAGATACCATACTGCCCGAAATCATCCTCTTAAACAAGTCAAAAGCCTCACTCTCATTCTCATCTTGGACATAACCTCCAATTATTGTGTTCCAGGATACATTATCACGATCACCCATGAGCTCAAAAATCTTCCTTGCATCTTTCAGAGCTCCACATTTAGCATACATATCTACTAATGCATTTCCTACAAATAAGTTTTGCGTTAACTTCTTCTTGATGACAAGTGAGTGAAACTGGCTGCCCATTTCTAGATCATGAGATGCAGCACATGTGCTTAACAGGCTTGTAAATGTATAATCGTCAATGTTAAAACCAGAGCATTTCATATCCATAAACAGTTCCATAACCTTGTGGGCTTCGCCGTTATGCGCATAGCCCCTTATCATCGCGTTCCATAAGACGTCATTTCTCTCCTCCAAAGATTCAAATACTTTTGCAGCAGCCTCCATTTTCTCACATTTCGAGTACATGCTGACCAAAGAACTGCCAACATAAATATTGGAGGCAAGGCCTTGTTTAATAGCCTCTGCATGAACGACCAAGCCTAAATCAAGATTTGCTACAAGCCCAATGGCACTCAAAACGCTTCCTAGTGTAGAACGAGTCGATTTAACACCAGATTTCCGCATATTGAGAAAATATTCAATAGCTACCGCCTCACATCCTCGTTTCCCATGCCCTGAAATCATTACATTCCACGCTACCACATCTGGACTTGGCATCTCCCCAAACAATAGACGTGCATCCTTCAGCTTCCCCAAACTGATGTACGTATTTATGACAGCCACAAAAGCTAAATGATCAGGCCGATGTCCTTCATCCCGCATCTTTTCAAATACTATGACGGCTTCCTCTGGCAAACCAGCCTTGACATAGCCAGAAAGCAAACATGTCCAGCAAACTGTATTAGGATCCACTATCCCATTGAAAACTCGTCGAGCATCACCTATACGATCACACTTGGCATACATATCAACTAGAGCCCCTCCACAATACGAATTGCGTTCAAGTCCCATCTTTATCATACTGCAATGAATCTGTCTGCCAAACTCTATATTCCTCTCCCTAGCACAGGTTGATAAAACAATCGAAAAAGTGAATTTATTTGGAAAAATCAGATTCTCGAACAATGATACAAAACTCCTTAAGACCTTCGCTGGCAGCCCAACGCTTGAATACATCGAGAGCATCGAGTTCCACGCGGTTACATCCTTTTCAAGAGAGTCGAAGACCTTCTCAGCATAAGACACTTGTGCACACTTGGCATACAAATCAACAATGGCGTTGCCTAATCTGCCTTGTGAATCCATTCCAAGTATCAAGCTCCGGCAATGGACAGCTTTGCCGATTCTCAAGGACTGTACAAGTCTTTGAGGCATTCCGTCGAACACTTTACGACTTTTGAATAGTTTACATTGCTCCAAACAAATTTCCAGGAGACTTTTAAATATCTGATCATGGTTTCCATAGATTCGACGACCCAAATCCGTGGAAAAACTCAAACGACGTACCAAGGAGAAAGAATCGAGCATGGACGAGGACGGTGTCAAGAGAAGTCGAAAATACATGATTCAGACAGTAATCCGACAAAACACGAACCTTTGCCGGAGCTTGAACTGAGGTCTCGACTCTCCCCACTTAACCATGAGAAAAAGAAAGCATCCAAACGGAAAGAGTCGTCGTTAGTAAAGAAAATCGAAGAACTGAAAAAATTCAAAAGTCAAAAACTTTTTTTAGCGGAAAAAATAATCAACCTTTGTCGGGTCGACCCGAAAACCCGCCGGTTGATCAACTCTGGTTCAAAAGAGGCGGATATATAATAGTGTTCTTCGCTAGTAGCTTATTTTTTTATCTTTTATGCTGATCTGTTAAATCTTTGATCCAAATGCATAATTAGATGTTTTATCAGAAACTTTGTGTCTGAGTGACTAATGCATTTTACTGTTCTATTTTCTCGTTGACTAACATTCATCACTTTTTGTAATATTGTTAAATTTTTAACTGGAATAAACAGACCCGATAAAAAGTAAGAGACTGTATCTATAATACTTTCTGAAAATAGGGTCTTTTGTGAAAATACTTTAAACTTAAAACTGGTTTTGGATAATGCGTAAAACTGAATTAAAGAAACGAGAGGTTACTCTCAAACGATCCCCTCTTCTTATTCTTCGTCAGAAACAAAGAAGATGATGAACACACTTCAAGCATTTCAGACAACTTTAACACCAAACTTCAATGTTCTATTCAATGCCTCAAGACATTCAATTTCAAGAACCCAATTTCTCTGTCTCTCGAAATCCGGAGATGGAACTTCGGATTCTGATTCTGATTCTGATCCCGACGCTCCGAAACCCGAAGGCGATACTCGGAGACAAGAACTCTTAGCCAGGATCGCCATGCTTCAGACATCTAAGGTCCGTTTAACGGATTTCTTGGACGAACGATCAGATTATCTCACCAAGTTTGCTGAAGAAGCCAATGCAGAGTTTGACAAGGTTGGAGAAGACGCCATGAAAGACCTTGACCAAGCAAGCTCAAGGGTTTGTATTACTCATAAAGACTGTAACTTTTTTCGTTCTTACATGCAGTTTTATGAAAGTAGAATGTCTTGTTTCAATGGCTTACCTTGATTCTCTGATACAACTTGATCAATAAGAATTGTCTATTCTTAATAGATCAAGTGAAGTCAGAAGCTTTTAGAGATTGTGATTTGCTCGATGATCTTGCAGGAACATAAAAACAGATAAATCTGATTTTGTTTTTGTTCCGGTGATTGAGCAGATACTGGAGAATATTGAGAGCAAGATGCAAGCTTTTGAGGAATCTGCAGGATTGAACAGATTAGAGATAGAGGAGAATGATAATAAGTTGGCTGAGTTTGAGGAGAAGATTGTGATAGACAGGAATGAAGGATTGTTCTTCAAGAGCTTACGTGACAAAAAGGCGGTGGATAAACAGAAAGCTAAAGAGGAAACTGAGAGAATTGAAATGGTTACCAAAGAAAGTGCAGGATCAAAGACAAGAAGGAATATTTACCTCGGGTTAATTGGGATTGTGGTTCTCGCCATTGCTGATTCGTTCGTTTCTTCACCGGATTGGAGAAAAGTCGCGGTTCTTGGAGCTATTCTTATCCCACTGCTCACTCAGTTCTTTTACGAACAGACATTGTTATCAGAAGAAGCAGATAAGGGAAAGGGAGACAAGAAGCAATAAAACACGGAGGAATTGGACTCTGTATCAATCGAAAGAGATAAATATGACTTGATAACATAGACCCAAGTGGGAAACTTATCACTTTTGGTTTGATACATCAAGTTACAGTGTTTATTTTGCATCATCGAATATCAGATTTTGGTCTGAACAAGCCCTTGTCACTCAAATGTGTATCACCCAAATGCTTGTGATGTGTGTATGTAATTCAATGTATAATGCTAGTTTCATCAGGCGATAGCTCAACTCTCGTCGACTTACTGCAATTTACCGCCTGTCACTTCCAAGCACCGATACATCACAACTCAACCTCCAAAACCGAAAGCTTTCCACGGTAAATAATGGAGGAGCTTTATACCTTTATCACAGAACGCTATCAGCTGGCCCAGAGATCAAATCCAGGGTCAAACTGAACCCCAGAGAGTTTATAAGCTTTCCTTTGATATTCACCATGTTAGCAATTCATGACAGCTCGAACTAGTATGTTCCAGGTGACAACAGATGGAAAAATGCCATGGTTTCTAGCATCATTGAAAAATTCGATAGCATACGACACTTTGTGGCACATACACAACCCATTCAGTAGGATATTGTAGGATATTATATCAGGCTGCAACCCCTTCTTGTACATGTAACCCCAAATCACTGTCGCTCTATTGCTGTCTCCAACTTTGAAGAATCCTTTCATCAAGGTGTTGTAGGTTACGAGATTTGCAACGCAATTCCAATTCTCCATATTCGCCACCACATTCATTGCATCATCAAGTTTCCCAACAGAGCACAGGCCGTGAATTAGAATGTTATGCATGGTCACATCGGGTTTTTGACCCGACTGAAGAAATTGGTGCCACAAGGCAAGGGCTAATTCGATCTTTCTGTCCTGACAAAGACCCTTCAACAGTGAACTATAAGTTTTCAGATCTGGTTTCCACCCATTTTCAAGCATTTCCTTCACAACAGCTGATGCTTCACCGAACTTTCCTGCTTCACACAAACCGTGAATAAGAATGTTGTAAGATACAACAGTCGGGGAACAGCCATTTCTCCCCATCTCTCTCAGCAAAAAAGAAGCATCACCAAGTCTGGAGTCTCGGATTAAACCACCCATTAATGCATTGCAGACATGAGAAGTCAGCTGCACGCCATGCTTACTGATCATTTTTACCAAATTTGATGCTTCTTCTAGTCTTCTCTCTTTGCACAAACAGTCTATAATTGATGTATATGCATAAACATCCAGATGCTCGCCTCTGCTCTCGACCTCCTTCATTATCCCCAAGGCTTTATTTACATAACCATTCACACACAACCCATGAATTAAAATACCATAAGTTTTCTTGTCAGCTGCGTAGCCCTTTGCAGGCATAAGCCTCCAAATCATTGTCGCTTCATCGATCTTTCCATACTTCAACAACCCTTTTATCAAAATGTTATAACTCACTATGTTAACTGAACTCTTCTTCTCCATGATTCTCCATAACTCCAAACTCTCCTTGATTTTCCCACAGCGGCAAAACCCACCAAGCATAGTATTGTATGTAACCACATCGATGAAGGCCTTACTTTCGACCAACTCTTTAAACACATTTTCGGCCTGATCAACATTCCCCACCCCGCACAGCCCATGTATCAAACTGCTATATGTAAATAAATCTTTTTCTCGTTCATTCTGTTTCATTCTCTCCCATATCTTCAAGCAATCATCAATTCTTCCGCATTTGCTCAAACCACTAATCATGATGTTGTGAGTTTTAACATTCGGATAAACAGACGAGTCCTCCAACAGTTTCTCCCACAGTTCCATAGCCTTGTTGTCATCTCTTTTCTTAAGAGACCCATCAATTAATATATTATAGCAAGTAACATCAGGTGCCACTCCTCTCTCAGACATTTCATCGAACAGTTCCAATGCATCAACCAAGTTTCCAGCTTTCGCAAGATCGTTGATCACAGTGCTGTAACTACGCACATCCGGCTTCAAACCCTCTTTCCACATCAAATCAAGAAACCCTTTCGCTTTCTCGAACTGCTTCTTCTTACCTGACATCTTAATCAAAACATTATACGTCTGCAGATTTGGCGCCAAACCTGCTGTTTCGAAGTAAGCTAACAAAGACTCGACTTTATCCCATTGTTTCGCCTCGGCGAACGCATTGAGTAGAGTATTATACGACCTAATACCAGGCTCGCACCCGAAAATCTCTCTCATTCGCTGAAATACATCCAGCGCTCGATCGGGCATGGAGTTGTTTCCGTAGCTTTTGATTACCGACAAAACGACATCTTCGTCGCATTTGCATTCTTGTGACCGAATAATCTCTACGACCCGACCCACATGGCTAACCATCCGCGCCTCCGCGAGTCGTCGGAGGATATGATGGAAGACGACGGCGGAGTGTGCATAGCCTGGATGGCGAGTGGCCGAATCGAATAGATCAAACGCAGTACGCAGATTCTTCTCCGATTTCAAGAGCTTGAGGACGTGTTTCGGAGACAGCGATTTTGGGAAAACGACCATGGGAGAGCTCTCGGTGACCGTTAGATCTTTATTTCTCCGGCATGCTTTGGATTTTAGCAGCTGCTCTCATTAGCCAGAACAAAAACCGAACTTCCAATTCGACGGCGAAGCTGAGAAGATGAAAGAAATGGAGGAGTCGGAAGAGTATGAAATCCGCCGGTGACTGGGGACAGACCTGGGAATTTAATTAGCAGTGACAAGTGATAACTAATTTTTTTTTTTTTTTTGGGACAAAAAGTGATAACTAATTATCAATATAGTTTTTTAAACTAAATATAAACTGTTAAAAGATTAATCAAAATTTGTTCCACAATAGGTTAAGCCAAATTCGAATTGAAAGTATTCAATTTAAGTTTTTCTCCAATGAAACTAACTTAACATTATCAAGTTAATCAGACAAAAATACATAATTATGCTTTATATGATGATGATAATAATGGCTGGCTTAAAGGCGGTTTATTCCGGTTAAAATAGACAACGTCAACAAGTCACTCGTGTGATAATGTCCCCCCCCTTAACATTAAGAAAGTAAACCAATTGCACCGAAATTAAACCCAAACCAACAAAACGACAAAAATACAAAAGGTTCAGAGAGCTAAACCCCTAACCGAACCGAACCAAACCATCCAATGAACAATTTTGATCAATACAGCCTCATAACACTCCTCGCTATAGAATGGCCGTGAGTATTCGCCCA